GATACTCGGGAATCGGAAGCCTATTTCCTAGAAACCGTTCCCGAGAGCTGAATCCACGATAAATCCAGGGCGTGAGTATGAGGATCAGGAGACAGGGCGAAGGATTGAGCGCTGGGTCAACTCTCGGACCAGCCTTTTCACTCCCCACTCCCTCTCAAGGGGTTCCTAGATATTAGTTATGGACAGTAATCGAAATTAGGCTTCAATTAGGCCATTTCCATTCTTACACAGAAATCTTTCCACTGTCCATAAGTCACAAACCAAGATTAGTCAGAAAAGGATTTCCGAACCCTGTTAATCAATCAGACCTTCACATCCACCGTATTCTTCTGACGTTGCTCCTTCTGAATTCTTCTTATTTCGGGCCTGAAACCAGCATCTCATCAGAAAAAGCTGTGGTGACGAGCATGGACTGAAAAGCGACATGAACGCCTTCTTTGCAGCCCCGCTCTAGTTCAGTGGCATCATCTAACCGTCTACGCCTATGGCAAGCCGCTGTGGACAGCGATAGCTAGTGTTTTATCGAATTAAGGTAAGTTCATATAAATTCATAGAAAATTGAATTTTATGAAGTCTGAACAGAGAAATCTCAAAAACGCCCGGTGTATGGCTCCCCACAGCTGCCTGTTCAGTAGTGTGGGTCGGCGCCCATAAATTACGGCTCCAATCTCGTCCAAGTCAACCAAGCCACTAGCCCACCTAAAGTCGGTCATGCCGGGACCGGATTCTCCCAAGAGGATTAAACCGCAGGCCTGTGCATCACTGACCTTCTCTAGTCATTTTAAAGGATAAACCAGTTTCTTCTGATGCCATGGTGATTCAGGGTGAATGACGAATGGTCTCGCCAAGAATGACTGTTTTGATGATGTTCATCTACCTTTTCGATACGATTTAACATCATGTGTATTGTATCAAAATAGTGCGAAACTAAGTGCTATCTTGGGGGTATCACGCAAGTTCTTTCTTTGACTACACCGCTCGCAGTCGGTTGAAGCTTTCCCGAAAAAACCTAGACGTGAACCTAGCCGGTTCCAAGGCGGCACTAGAAAAGATTTTTAGCATACAAAAGAATGTAGAGAGTGAAATTCGTGTAGAGAAAAGAAAACGATAATGTAAGAACATGATGTAAGAAGGCGTTGTAAGTCGTGTTAAGTCGTTTACGCTTATATAAGCCCCCGGTTCCGCTTGTTACAGTGTCCTTTTAGTCTTCCTACCTTTTCATTCGGGTGAGTTCCTTGATTCTCAATCTGTGAATGAATTATGGCTAGCAAAGATGTTAGAGGGTTGAGGAACCCTATATTTGCCTATTCATTCGTGGAAAGCGTCATGTGCTTGACTTTCACTCAGAGTAGCAGTAGTTCTTAAATTCATATTAGAGGGGTACTAAAGGTACTGGGCAGATATGGGTTAGCAAATGTGCAGGTCCTCAGTGTCCGTCATTCCGAATGAGTCTGGGGTCGACAACTCATTTTTGGAGCTGTTAAAAGTTTGACCGCCGGAGAGCAATATTCGATAAGGGCTGCTCCAAGTATCGTGCGTATGATAACTGCCCATAGGGTTCCCACTTTCCAAGTCATACTCATTAGTAAGTGGCGGAGACTGTGAAGTAGCGAGTGGCTTACCATCGCAGACACCTGGTCCGGGAATCGAACCTCGACTAGGATACTTGCCTGAGCTAGCCTGAGCTCATGTAGTATGTAGCAGACCCGTCTGGGCGGTTGAAAGCACTGATTTGTGGGCAGACTGGAAACCATGAGTCATCATGTAGGTCAGATTCGTATTCAATGCGCTTCTGACTCCTGAAAAAGAGTCGAGTGTGGGGTGCACTCCAAAAAGCAAAGTGATCATTTCGTGCTCAAAGACTTCATCCTTAACTAGTAGAAAAAGCTCACAAGTTAATAAGTAAAAGCTACGAAGAATCATTGATTGTTCAAGAAATAAAGGGAATCAGCTTTACAGAAACTAGAATGAGTGCCACTAAGCTCGCCTTCGGCGTAGCGTCATTTGTAGCGATTGGCAGCATCGGCTGGGTGATCTTCGTTGGATATCTCGTCAATGATATCAATAATTTCTATGACGACACCATCGGAGAGCTTTCTGAGTTCAAGGTAGGTCTGCTGTTTGGTTTGACCAGAATGCCTGTGATTGTTTTGCTCTTGGGTTCTGGGCGTAGTCAAACTTTTGGGAGGTTTTAGTGCTGGCTGGGATCTCGGCTTTCGAGGTTCTTTCGCTATGCATTTACATAAAGTCTTTTCAGGACCTAGCGAATGCAGCATGGCATCAACTGAAGCCTACGCCATTGGACACTTTGAGAGTGAAGAGGCGAGTCCGTGGTCACAGCCGCAAAATTCGACAGTACGACATGCGGCAGTTAGACGATCCATGCAATTGTGCAGCGCAGGCAAGAAACTGCCCACGTGGTCCTCCTGGTCCTCAAGGACCACCCGGACCTGATGGAGAACCAGGTGAATCAGGTGAACCGGGAGCAAGTGGCTTGGACGGTATAATGATCTCGGGCGCTGGAGGAGCTGTTGGCTGTATCCAATGCCCCGCCGGTCCACGAGGACCACCTGGTCCAATTGGTCCTCAAGGTCCACAAGGTCTCGATGGTCCACAAGGAAAAGAAGGCCCGAGTGGTGCACCAGGAGCACCGGGACCAGTCGGACCAATGGGTGATCAAGGGCCACCGGGACCGCCTGGACCTGATGGTCCACCAGGACCGCCAGGTGCATCAGCTGAGCATGGTGTTAGTATACCAGGACCTATGGGACCACCAGGACCGAAGGGAGAGCCTGGCCCACCCGGAGATGATGGTGAGGATGGACCTGTAGGAGAACCAGGTCCAGCTGGAATGCCAGGATCGCCTGGAAACGTTGGAGAACCAGGTGAAGACGGAGAGCCAGGTCCGGACGGTGTGGATGGGGAACCTGGACCTGATGCCGCATACTGCCCATGTCCAGCGAGAAGCTCGGATATCGGTCTTGGAGATAGTCCCTTAAGTGAAAGTGGCATCGAAAAAGTAGATGTTGTCGAAGTGATAGACTTAGATGAATCAGATAAGACGAAGAGAGCTACAAAACGTCCGAAGACAAAACGTTCGAAATCGCCAGCGAGAAAGGCTACAGTCAAATCACGCCGCGCACGCAGGCGTCCTCAACGCAGAAGACAAATGAGGAGGAGACTACGCAAGCATTGACCCTTCGGTTTCATTGACCTCTTATATAAGTGTGTACGGTAGAGGACAGAAGACGCCACCGCGGTCTTACCGCCGCTACTAGGTCACCCCATGAGATGCGTGAACTACTGTGGCACGACCTTTTTGTAGGACCCTGTTATTATTTCACCTTAAAAGGATATTCCTTTCTGAAAAAGTGTATTCTGTTCATAGTTGGTAAATGTTATGGTCTTGGGAAATGGTCGCGCCACACGCTGCTTGGGGCAATGACCCAGTTTCTGGCGGCCGCGATGGCACCTTCTGACCCACACCCATGCTTGTAGAATAAAACTTGAAGCTCAATACTTTCTATGGTCGTATCAGTCTAATAGCCTGAATTACGTTGGGCTCTCCTTTACTGTTGATCGCCAAATTTTCAAAGAAGATTTCCCCAATCTCGCCGACACCACAAATCGAAATACGGGGCGAATACGCGTATCGCCTACAACTATAAAATCCCCTTCTTTTGTTCTTGATCTTGACAACGACCATCTATTCAAAATTTACCCTCCCTTGATGGGGTTTTTTATCCGATACTGTTGATGAAACGCCAATACAGATTGATATATGTATGTATGAGTCGGTACAAGAATCCGCCATGTACAGTTCCCTCAAACTTTGGTAATCAAATCAATCAATAATCTCATGGGAATAGGTAATGTCAGATTAACATGGATGAAGAAAAACATGTTTAACCAACCCGAGAAAGTAGCTCTTAGGGTATAGCATTTTATCACTGGCTGCTTTCATAGTCCACGATTTGGCGAGCGACCGATCGCACGACCGATCGCTCGGCGGCGCCCTTAGCTCGTGCTGCCTCCTCGACCGATAGCGCGATCGGTCGCTCGTCAAATCGTGGACTATGAAAGCAACCACTGCGCTTATAGACCGACGGCATTAACCCTTTTGACGACAATGGCACCCACCGGTGGGTGCCACTATGACTGGCGCATGGGACATTGGCGCCCAACTTTGGGTACCACTCTACCTTCTTGTTTCTTACCAATTGCGAAATTCAGTAAGCCAGTGAGAGAGTTTCCTCTGGCACCCTGCCACCCACCGGTGGGTGCCAGTCGCTGCGAAGGAGGGGAGCGTGGTCCTATGGGCGCGTCACGTCGAAATCCGCATTGTCGTCAAAGAGTTAACAAGCAATCTGTTAACTCTGTGCGCTCATGGGACCACGCCCCCTTGCTTTCTGCACTGGCACCCACCGGTGACTGCCATTGTTCCAGGAACCAGTTTCTTCGTTAGATTGCTAATTATTCATTATATCCGAGTAAGGCTTCGAAATGAATCCTCAGGCTTTGAAATGAACCTTCAATGGCCTTGAATGGAGGTGAAATTAGAGTACGCAGTAGGAATTCGTACAACAATCAAGGCCCTCGAGGATTAGTTTGTGCTTTGCGACTGCCATGCTGAGACCGATCGGCGGTGATATGATCGCAAATTAGGCCTTTCATTATCTACAAAGCTTTTGGGACGAACATAAATCTTGCTAAGGAATCTAGTTTTCTTCAGTAGCACTCCATTGACCATATATGTTTGAAATAATAAATAAACGGTTATAGAACATTTATACGGACTACGGTGAATATAAATACTACAAAGTTTGTTAGCAAACATGAACTGATTGAATAAGTTTGAACCGTGCAAAGAAACAAAAAAATATGGTGCTGGTCATGATGGCACCTATCAGTGGGTGCCATTGTCGTCAATGGGTTAAGCCTAGTGACAGTGCTCCAATTCTGTTTCGGTCACAGCTACTCCTTAATAAGGCAGCTTCCTTCTTCATTAGACCACGGCCGGTAGTAAGGACCTAGGGAGAGAGAAAGGCTTAAAAAAGTAGTTTACCGGTAGGAGTTGGGATGTGAAGTGGCTATGATATTACGATTTCGGTTGCACATTCTACCACTAAGCTATCTGTCTAGCGCGAAGGGAGCTATTCAACAAAGTTTGTTAACCTTAGTGTACCGAGAAGCTGTTAGTGTCTTCGATGTGATTTTTGAGGAAGACGGACGATAGTAACGTGGACGGGAAAACCAGTCCTTCGATATCGATACATGTTAAAGCCACACCTTTTGCTACTTGTTAAACAGCCCTGTCCTGGTAGTGCACTACAATTTTGCAAGATGTCATACCTGATGACCCGTGCATTTGGTGTATGTGAAAGATATCTGACATAAACACGGCTAAGAAGACATGCTGACTCCTTCGCGGGTCACCAGGTATAACATTGTGGAATTAAAATCTATTGATTGAGACTTTCTGTATGATTTGGTTGCATTTTAGATCATTTGCTTTAGAGTTGCATTCCGTTATGATGATAAAACGAATAAGGTTACTTGGAGCTGTTCAAGATCAGGATAGAACGTTTCATTTTTTGGTCTCAGGAGGTCTCACAGCCTCCTCCATTCGACTCCCATACAGAATCGTAGCGGCACTTCGAATGTGTATGTAGCTCCTACATTGTAGACTTGTGAAGTCCAGCTGATATCAAGCCAATAATTTTTCCTCCCGAACAAGTCTGGCACCAATCAACCGGATAGAAAGGTTGTTGGCCCGGGCGAGTATTGATCCAGGATTCGATCCGCAGACTGTGTGCATGAGATAGTGAACCACATGTCATAATACCAACTCTGCCAATATATTGATGATATCAGCTCCAAATTCACTACGCACTCTTTCTCTGTCTGGAATTTCCTCGTATCGCTTCAGTCTGAGTATGGGTTGGAGCCATTGGAAAACATGTGAGGGCAAGAGTAAGAAATACTGGTCAAAATGTAGCTCATCCTTAGCCGTTACGACATTATTTGAGCTCAAACTGTTGTTTATTCAATTAAAACTTTAATTAAGCTCCGAATTTTCTGTATTTTCTCAGTCATCTGAATACTCATAAATGGACTCTATCGCCACTTCCTTATCGTAGAATGTGTTTACAGTATATGATTGAATTTTTAGAAGGTTCTCTGGAATTTGTATGAGTTTCGGTAGAAATTTCATGGGAAGGCGCCACCCACTTGTAGCGTATAAAGCGTCTGGGACATGAAATCGAACACTTAAGGGAGGGAGCTTCCAATCCTCCCTACGTGTTCGAATTCGGTCACTCTACCAGGGCCCATTGAAGGTATTCGGCCCTGAACACCTTTCTATGTTCTTTCTGCTTGTCTCGCTGCAGAGCTTCAAAGCCGTAAACAAAAAACTTGAAAACAACCTTTGCCCTAGTGGCGATACTAGGGGAATTGAGGAAACCGAGAATACAAGTGAGTAGTACCCTTGCATAGTATTGTGTAGTCACGTCTGGAATGTATGCGAATGAGCGTCTGTAAGCACGAAAACTTGCAATTTGGCATCGGAGTTTTTGGCAGATGTCTCTGACTACGACAATATCTTGACCATCAGCAAGGACCCGCTCCCCTGTTCCCCCACAACAACTCCTTTTATCCCCATGTGAAAATGAAGTCCCCTTTATACATGCTAGGTTCTGCGTGATTCGGCTAGGTCGCTTGCCTTACCCTTATCGCTGATATTGCAGAAGTTATTGCAGAAGTTTCTCACCCTTTTTTCACTTCCAGAGGAATGAATGACATTCTCACGTATTGTGCGATGTGGAACCACCACCGTGAAAACCAAAATTTCGTAGTAATCGATTGAGCTTTGGAGTAGCTGCCTCAACGACGCTCCTGGGGTAATATTACAGAAGATGTTGAAGACGTAGATCGTAGCTGCTGTTCGATGAGGGTGTTGAAGGGAAAAGTGGAAGAGGCAGGTTCCTTACGGAAGATGCTCATGATTGCTGCTGCAGGACAAACAAAACGTATGGGTTTAAATAAGTTATCCTATCACGTACTAGAAACCACCTGTGCAGTAGTAGCCAACAAGTAAGTATTCAAGCGTTGCCGACAGGAACGAAAAGTCGGTACGGACCCAAACTCTTACCATATTTCGTACTCCTTCCTTTTGTTTATAGCCTTTGTGGAATGAGACATACTAGTTGCCCAAAAGTAGCATGAAGTAGTAGTGGATTACGGTCAGATATCCGTTCACAAGAAGTAACAGTTCTTGCAAAGTTTGCGATTTGATAGTAGGCATTTTCAGAAAAGCCCTGGGAGACCCAAAGAAAAAAGAAGATGAGCATTAAAGGCACAGTTCACAAAAAATGGTTTCGGAGATTTGCAGATGGTTTGAATTCGACGC